AGAAATAATACCAAGAATGAAATCGGTACACTTTGTTCTTAATCTAGAATAAAATTCTTACTGGGAATATATTAGATTGTTTTCTTCGATTCGTTTCAAACCTGAATTCGATTGCAAAATGAATATTTGAGATCTTTTGTGATATTTATGTTTTCCTCTCGTGTTTGAATCACAAGCTTTTGTTTCGAGATAGTGGATATGCACGCGTGTATCATTTTTGGTAGACTTTTTATTGACCATTTGTTATTTTTTCTTATTTTTGTCGGTTTCTTTGCCTTCATTCAGTCACTGTATATTGTATTTGGAAAGTTTATGACAAGAACGAACTGAACCTTTGTTGTAACTAGTGTTGTGTTAAAAATGTTGTTAGATGTCTCAAGAATACTCCAAGGATGGCACAGCTTTTTATGCCTAGTTGCGTTTCAAAAATCTTACTTGGGTTGAAACTAAACGATGAATAACGATAATCATTTTTTTTTTCATATTTTCTACAGTGATGTTCAAAACATCGATATTAATTTCATATTTGACATACCCCCTATATTCATTCCAATATATCTCATAATCTGTGGCGTTGTAGTTATAGTTAATGGGTTATTTTACATTAGCAGTAGAGGGGACGTTAAACGTCGAAAAATATATTCATCATTTAAAACAGGAAAATTGTACGAATTTCTGTTAACAATTGTCAGTGATACAACGTCGACGCGGAGCTTAACTTTTGAGAGGTGATATTCAGTTTCAGACTGATTCTTTTTCGGCAATTTAACTCATTTAAATCCTTCAAATGCTGGATCTTGTAATCTTCCCGGTGTGCCCCGCGATGAAATTCGATAATCGATAAAATCGATTGTAATCGACAGGAAAGACGTCATTTACACTGTTTTCCTGCTGTGTGAAATAATATACTTCACTGTAATCTCACTTGTTAAATGTTTTTGATATCTCGATAACCAAGAGTGATACCTTAATTACTAACATTACTAAACTTTCTGGGCTACTCGCTATGGAGTAACCTTTGATATGTGTGGTAGTTGGTTATAGAGCAAGACATCTAGATCCAGAATGCAGAAGACGTGACCACTCATATGATTTGTGAAATACATACAGGCGGAGCGATAAATGATTTCTTTCAAACGGTTTTTAGACCGGGTACCATGTCCTCATTCCTTGAGTATTCAAACAAAATTGCCTGAGACGACGGCCTTCTGAAGTTAACTAATAATTGTTTGAGATTGATTTTCACTTGTGGTGTAATACAGTTGGAGTCTAAATCAGAGGCGGATACGTAAGCAGGCTTTACGATTCTTCATCGTTTGAGAGCAAGTGAAAGGTCGCAACTCTGACAATCTGACTTTCATTCCATCGTTAGCGCGGCAAATTCATAAGCGGAAAAGAGCAAGAGATCAGCACAGTTGGTTAGTGCGCGACCTTCTGTGCGTGAGGTTCCCAGTTCGATTCCTGGGTACGACCTCAGACTCTTGTTTCGACTTCTTTCCTTTCCGTGTAGCTTTAAGTAGCTTTAAATACCCATAAAAAGGAGCACTGATGGAAAGACGGGTGTAAAATGAGCGCAACGTCGTGATTTAGGTTCATGGTACTCGTTTAAATCACGTATCCACTTGTCCTGTTGATGAAGCTTTCTACCACACATATTGTTATTTCTAATATGTTTTTTTAAAATGCTTTTATTAATGCTTTTTTGTAGACTAATCATTTAAGAGTGGCTAATAAATGCTGATTAATTCCATATGCCTGTGTCGTGTTTTCATTTTGTTTCCACTCAGTCGCCTAACTGCCTCTAACCTTGGGCTTACGTTGGGACCAGGCTAAGCACTGGAAGGAAAAGGCAAAAAAGAAAAATCGCCAGTGAACCGAGCCGAGCGGTAGTCTGGGAAAGGGAACGGGAAAAAGGTTGACCTCTCACCACCGCCCCCCCACCACTTCCGCAGTCTAGTCCACCGCTTCGCTCGCCGACTTTTTTCGCTGTTCCACCCAATCTCGTACCCAGAGTCTCCTGGCTTGTTGGTCAGCGGGGCGACGCAAGGATCCCGTTAGGGGGGCAAGGGTGGCGAGGTAGTGATGAGAGCACTCCTCCCCCACCAATGCAGCCCGAGTTCGAATCCTAGCGTTGACGCCATGTAAGGGTTGAGTTTGTTGTTGTTTCTCTCCCTTGCTCCGAGAGGTTTTTCCACGGATTCTCCGGTTTTTCCCTATTCTTAAAAACCAACACTCCATCTAGAACGCACGGACACGTTTAAACTAAGTTAACTGCCTCTTGGGTAAAGATATTACATGAAATTACAAGAAAAAATTCCCCCACTGCCGAGCCCGGTCCCAGGCTAGGGCTCACAAGTCTCTCGGACTGTGCAATACATAGTTTTTTTAAAAAAGTTGTATGGAAACACCAAGCTTGGCTGCTCGACTCAGTGGTAATACAACTGCTTATTGACGTGAAAATATGTGATTCGTGAATTTTGTCAGTTTGCTACATTTTGTTAGATATTCCATTATTTCTTGTTCAGTGAGGAATCCTGGCAGATTGCATCTCAGTACTCACAGTTTCAAAAATGTCCGGGGGAAACTTCCCGGACCTCCCTAGCATGTCAAAGGGCGCTAAGGCGGCCATATTGTATCTCCCCTCATGCAATATGCTCCACCAAAGCTTACAAACAGAAAAAGCCTTTGAACGCCCCATAGCTACCACTGGACTCTTCTAATTGTAACTTATTTTTTGGTTTGTGCCCAGACTGTACCTGAATCTCAGTTTGGGCGCAAAGCGAGGACAAGAGGTATGAAAATCGGCTAATATCTGTTACTCTGACCAGACGCGCTGGTTCGCCGTTTTTGTTCAAATCCGGATCCGTATTACTTCAAAACTTTTAGGTATAAAAGGCCGAATTAACGTCTCGGACGTTAAATACGTCTAGGCGACTTTAACGTCTTAAGCAGTAAAACAACCTTAACCCAGAATAGGGACGGGGTCCGCGCAGGAAGCACCAAGGCACTTGAAGTCCTTCAATCCAGGGGCCCCCGCACTTGAAAAACTATGAGTGTGAAG